ATATGAATGTTATTTCTGAGAGTGAGTGAATTCTTTCTATCTTGAGTTCCTAATTGTTCTTAAATTTTATATTGTGTGTGGAACTAGTCTCTTTTGTATTGTGAGGGCACTTGATTCATGAAAAAAAATGTAATGTCTTTGACCTCCATGTTAGAGTAAGTGAGTGAGTTGTGAATAATGCATGGTACATGCGAGTCAAATCTTGAGGTGAAAATGTTACACCCTTGTGCTTAATCTATTTTAAAGATTCTTGGTGTGATGAGTTAGGAGAATTGCTTAAAAATGTCGTGTATATAAGTGTAGTTTGATTGCTCGAGGACGAGCAATGTTTAAGTGTGGGGGTATTGATGTGTGGCTATAATTCCATAGTTTCGTACATTATATGCTTTGCGTTTTACATGCTTTAATGTTAAATATACTTTTTTGAGCGTAATAGAGGCTATTTTATATGTAGGTGCATCGGAAATGAAAGTAGAGCTAAAAGGATGCTTAAACGTCGAAAAAGCGCTCGAGAACAGTGAAAATGAGAAGCCGGGCAAAATAGAGGCTATTTTGTAGTTATGCATACTAGTATGAATAGCTAATTTGTTATCTAGGGTTTTGATGGAACCTCTTGAATGATGATTTTCCTGTTACGTTAATATAGATTTGCTGTAGTATTTTCTCTATTTGTTCAACTACGTTATTATTGTGGTTGGTTGAAGAGCTCTCAATTGACTGTACCAATTTAGTGTGTATTACTTGGGAAAGAGTGCATATTTAAGTAGTTGTGGAACAACATCAGGCCTAACGTATATGAGAGATCAATACAGAGGGTTTAAAGGTGGGATTAGAGATAACGAAACCTTGGGTGCGATCCGAGTGAGCCGTACTTAATGCCAGCTAGCGTAATTTGGGAGTATATCTAGTAAATTGTGGTAATTACTCGGGAGAGAGTTACAACAATCAAAGCGCTCATGATCGGTAGAGAATACTTAGACGAATTTATAGAAAATGTAGCGGGAAGGATTCTGACAATTGGGGAAATCATAACTCTAGACCTCCTTAATATGGTCTCTAACCCTTAGTATCTGTAGTTGTTAATCTACTAATTTAATTTGTTAGTTAATTAGATACAAGAATCTTAATTTTTATAACATAGGAATTTTTCGAGCTTGTCCTCTTAGCAATATTGAATAGTTGTGACTAAGCCTTAGTTCTCTGTGGGATTCGACTCCGGACTTGTAAACCGAATTATATTTGCAACGATCGCTTAGTCCTTTTTATAAGGCATAGTTGGGCGTGATCAGCGAATGAATGGTGGTATGAAGAATTTAGAACCCAGGCCATACGAAATAGTGGATGGTAAGGCTAGGGTGATCTTTACCAAGGAGGAAGATGATCTTTTGGCAGAAAAGTGCCGCCTCACAGTGGTAGGCAAATTCCCTTGGACTCGTGATATTTATCTTAAAGTATATATATTTATATGTATATCGCCTCACATTTTACTCGTGTTTCATAGATTTTGAATATGAAATGTATTGATTTATACTAATTCATCGTGTTTTTATGTGTAGGAATCATCCAGAGGCAATATGGGGCAAAAGATGCGAGAATATAGCCAAAAAGGAGCAAAATTGGAAAATGGCCATTTGTAGTGCCACAGGTAGCGTGGGGCGCTACCTGTGGCCCAGTTTCCAGAACCTCAAAAATCCCAGCGCCAGGGCTAGAGCCCCATGCTATCCTAGATGCTGGGTGACCGGAAAGTATCCTACTTTGTCTAGGACAAGGTTATTTCGATCCAAGACGCCCCCAACTCGTATAAAAGCAAGTCTAAACCTATTTTGGAGGGGGTGACGTCACTTTGAGAGGAAAACGCAAGCACGGAACACTCGGGGAGCAAGGATTCTCAGTTTTTCTTTCTCTTTCCTTCCTTTAATCTCATATTTTATTAGTTCTAGAGTTTTGGGTGCTACATGAACGTTGTAGTTTGAAGCTTGAATTGTTTTTATTATTTTATCATATTGGTTTATTTATTCAATCTTGCACTTAAATATTTGATTGCTTGATCACCAATTAAATACTATCTACGAATCTAGGATTGAACTCGGAAGAGGGAATTATAGATTGCATATAAGATTGAGTAGAGCAAGATCTTGAACTTGAGCATCGAGAACAGATTTGCGGTAAGGATAGGAATATACCTAATCGCATTGCTTGGTTATTATACATGAATTATTAATGTGTTTTTGTTAGTCCTAATTCCATAGGAATATAGGCGTTAGGTTTAGCTTGAATAGGCGAGTAGGAATTCGGGAGGATACTACGAGTAATATTAACCATGTCAATCAATAAACCAAATAAATTAATTAAACAATTTAAGTGAAAGACTCAACGGGATTGTTAGTCAACCCATAGATCTAGAATATTGTCTCTCGTTAAATTCGCGTCTACTTTCGCCGACTTGGTTTCTGTAATTTCTTAGTTTGTTACTCTAAATTAGTTTGAGTTAATTATTCATACTTTAGGATTCGCTTGAATAAATTAATTATTTTGGTTTAATTTGGTTGATAGTAAATCACAAGCCCTTGTGAGTACGATATCTGGATTTACAATCCTATATTACTTTTATAACCACGTATACTTACATATGCGTATGGAAGTAACGAGTTTTTGGTGTCGTTGCCAAGGACATAGAAATTAACTATTTTACTAGATTAGATTTTTTACTTTTGGTCTATTCAAATTTTTTTTAGTTTAATATTTTATTATTTTTGTTGACATGGCATCTTGAAATGAGAATTGGTCAAATATTGGTTATTCTTATTTTGGTAATCCTTGTCCATATTGTGGAGGACCGTACTTGTGGCAAAATTGTGACAGAGTTGAGCGAACCATCTCAATCTTTTGCATGAAATATTTGTAATGTGTATTGTGGTCAAGGTGGACATTGGAATTGTTGTCCTAATTCTTATTATCCTTCTCTGAGCTCTTATTATGATTTTTCTAATAGTGTTTATAAGTTTGATAGGAGCAATGAAGTGGAGGATGTGGAACGCGTTGCTCGTATTATGGACATGGTGAGGCAAGTAGTTGAGCAACAAAATGAAATTCAAAAAAGGACTGCCTTAGAAATCAGAGTATTGTAGGCTAAAATAAAAGAATTAATGGCCAATTTTCAAGAAGAACCTCAACTCGACGACGAGAGCGAGTTCCCACAAGAAGATAATTTTGAAGAAACAGATATAGTGAGGCAATCTTGGCTAGAGGAACAAACTCAACTGATAAAATTTTACGGGGTTCTATGTAATGGTCTTTCAAGTATGGCAGAACAACTGATAGAAGGAAGAACTGAACTTAGGCAGGAGATAGACCAATTTGGCTCAGATATTCATGACTTGCAGGCTCAATTGAATAAAAAAGTTGAGGCGTCCGAAGCCCAACAACAAATTGTTGTGGATACTGGCCAACTTCTAGAGCAAAAAGAGGACTTCCAACTATTCGACCAAAATATTATTAATGATGCCAAGTTTGATGAAGTATGCAAAAGTGAAGCGATTCTAGAGTTGGAGCACATTGGACCTCATTCTAACCAATTTTCAACATTGTGCTTGGTTGGTAATACGAGAATTGATCCATTTGAGCCTATGGAGGAGTCTATGAATGGGGAACAAAGTGCATATATTCTGAAATTTGTGATGTCAAGGAGACAAAATGACATCCCTCACTTAAGGGCCAAGAAGTGCAAGATGTGATATTCATTGCGTAGTTCCTTTATTTTCACACCACCATTCCAAGAACGTGACAGAAAAATTGATGCAAAATTGGGAGCGCAATTCATATTCTCAAAGTGGAAGGAAAAGTGGTGAAACTGATGGCGTCGTGCCGCGACTATAAATAAGGCACTTATTGGGAGGCAACCCAGCCTGTATTTTTTTTATAATGTCATGTCTTGTTTTGATTTTGTTTTGCAGATTAGGGGAAGTTTGAGTACCCGAAGTTGTAGTTGAGGATCAAGTTTGAACTTAAGTGTGGGGTCGTCTCGACCCTTAATATGGAGGATAATGTTGCTAGCTAGGCCCTAGAGGGTCTCAGGGAGTGTTTCTCATCCTTATTTTAATATTTTTCTCTTTGATTCATGCATCGAGGACTATGCAGAATATAAGTGTGGGGTGAGAGAATTACTTTATGTGTAGTGTAATTGTATAAATATTGTCATTATTTTTCTTAGCATAGAGTAGTAGACAAATTAAAAAAACAGAAAAAGTTCGAACTTTTCCCGACGATGGATCATTTGGATAATTTCTCTTGAGGGATTAAAGTCTGATTAAAAACACCAAAAAGATTTTTGCTTCTTAGGATAGTTAGGTAGGATCCCTTTGTTTTTCTTTGGGCGTCGGTTCTTTTCCAAGGGTGTAGCTCGAATCGGGTACTTTAATTTTTTTAGGAGTAGGTTAGGAAGAAACTGAGTTGCTCTGAGGTACCTATTAACGTGTTTGGTGCTGGCACATTAGGCTATGGCATGCGCTATGTCTTCCCGTACATTTGATTTGAATTGTGATACCTGAGTAAAATAAAATAGCCTACTATGTGGCGTCTTTTCTCAGTTGTTTGACTTGTATGCCACATAGTACAATATTGCTTAAAAATTCTCAATTAGATGTGCTTGCTTGACTTGATAATTGAACAAAACCGTCTCAATTGAGTCATGTGCAATGTGTGTGTGATGAATTATGATTTTCTGTGCTATCATATGTAGTCTAGAACTTACCTCGTGTGTTAATCAAAGCAAAATCAGTAAGTTGTGCTAGTCTAGGAGATAATGTAGGCGTTTCTTGCTTGATCATAGATGTGCTTATCAATTAAAAATAAAAATTTTCGTTGCTAGCCCCTTTGAGCATATAGACCTTTTCTTTGGCACTCACTGTCACGACTCTAAAACCGACCCGATCGTGATGACGCCTATCGTGAAACTACGCCAGCCGACACAATTCCCGAATTTAACCATTATTCAATAAAAGTCATTTTTAAGCCTTTAATTAATCAAATATCTCGTAATGTAAATCTAAATGGACAGTGCGAAATAAATACACAAGCCTGACATCGGGGTGTCACAAGTCACGAGCATCTACAAAGGTCAAAATACAATGAAGAGTCTAAAAATATCCTAAATACAATATAAGGAAGACAGGAGGGAGAAAAACAATGTTGCGAACATCGGGAAGCTACCTTGCTAACTCCGATGACTCTGCCACTGAGCAATCAACACCCGCTACCGGGTTCAAAATTTTCTGAATCTGCACACAAGGTACAGGGAAGTAATGTGAGTACGCCAACTCAGTAAATAATAAAAGTAAATGAAAGCTGAGTAGTAAGAAAACACGTAAGACACAGCATAACGCTACAGCAAATGCAGTACATTTCTAAAATAGTACAGAAATCATTTTCTTCGTAAATCAAGCTCAGTTTCAGTAAACCCTTTTAAAACAACTTTCAATAATTTCAAACGAGTGATAAAAACAGTGAGTAAAAAAACGCTAGAAACGTAAACAGCCCCTCGGGCAAAAACATGCACCATAAACTGCCCCTCGGGCATAATATCAACAGAACCAGCCCCTTAAGGTACCTCACAATCACTTGTAATCAGCCCTTCGGGCATAACATGAATCAAGAATAGCCCATCGGACATCAATATGAAACAACAACAGCCCTTCGGGTTACAACATATCACTCACACTAGGTATCCGCGCTCACTGGAGGTGTGCAGACTCCGGGATGGGCTCTTTACCGCCCAAGAACAATAACAAGCCATCTCGTGGCTTAATCAAACAGGCACTCAGCCTCATAACAACAAGCCACCTCGTGGCATAAATCAATCAGGCCCTCGGCCTCACAGCATCATGAATCCATAATAACCTGCTGCGGCATGCAGGCCAATCCCATAATATCCTAACAACACAGGCCATTAGTCTCACTCAGTCAGAATCCTCTCAAGCCACTCGGGCAATAGTAAAACAAGATGCTCAGCCCAAAATATCATTTAAAAGATCAAAACGGAGTAAATACTGCTGAGTTATGAAAATAGTAAAGCACAGCATAACTGAGTACAGATATTAAGTCAAAACAGTGAAGAATAGTAGTAAAAAGCCCCTAAGGGTCAAAAATAGTTGGCACGAGACCCAAATATGGCATTCAGCCCAAAACATGGTAATACTTTCCAAAATACAATGATATCAAACAGTATTCAATCAAATACGCAGCAGTCGCACGAGACGAACCGAGTCACAATCCCCAACAGTGCACGAACTCACGCTCATCATCTAGCGTGCGCATCACCTCAAAGTAGCACAACGATGTAAAATCCGGGATTTCATACCCTCAGGACAATATTTACAATCATTACTTACCTCAAACCGATCCAAACTCTAGCCCGCGATGCTTTTGCCTCTCGAATCAGCCTTCAAATGCTCCAAATCTAACCAAAATCAGTATATTATCATCAATATATGCTAAAGGAACAAAGTCCAAGCGAAAATCATCAAATTACATTAAAAATTCCGAAATTGGCCAAATCCGACTCGGGGCCCACATCTCGGAATCCGATAAAAATCACAAAATCCGATAACTCATTTAACCACGAGTCCAATCATACCAAAATTACTAAATTTCGACAATAATTCAGCTTCCAAATCTTATTTTCAAATCTCTAGGTCCAAATCCCCAATTTACACCTCAAAAACATGTAATCTAGTTGGATTATTCGATGACAATTCAATATTATGGAGTAGAAATGATCACAAGTGACTTATCTCAAGATTTCTCATGACTTCTCGCTCAAAAATCGCCCCAAGCTGCGTTCTTTTCGTCCAAAATGTGATAATGAGCTAAAAAACAAGACAGCTCAATAAAACACGATTCTGGTCACTAAAAGCCTCATTCCCGTCGCGACAAGTGCCAAATCTGGTCACTAAAGGTGCGCACCAGATCCTATTGCACCAGCAATATTTATTTTCACTAAAAAGGCTCTAACTCCACCATACGAACTCGGAATTCGATGATTCTTGTTCTTATGAGTCACAAATAATAATACAAACATAGTCCTTCAATCGAAACTCAATTCAGAGCTCATTTGCTCAGTGCGATACCCATTTCGTTCGTTAAATAATTAACTCATGTTTCGCGTCAAAAACTCAATCGCGACTAGATGAAATTAGACTAAACTTTCCAGATCACTCCTATAATTCATTATCAAAATTCTGGAAGTCTCGAAATCAAATTTCGATCTCTAGAACTAAAATAGAACTTTGGATCATTACATGCTTATGCTCAAAACGGTAAAATCTTCCAAAAACTATTCCAAAACTTATCCAAGCCTCATGGGACCTCGACCAAACATGCCAACACACCTCATAACATCATTCAAACTTGTTCCAACCTTCGAAACGCTCAAATCAATATCAAAACATTGAATCACCCTCAAATTTAAACCTAAGAATTTTAAAACTTCCGAATTCGATCAAAAAGTCTATCAAAACTCGTCCGAATGACCTGAAATTTTGCACACACGTCACAAAAGATACAACAGACCTACTCCAATTTCCGGAATTTCATTCCGACCCTGATATCAAAATTTCCACTGTCGACCAAAAAAGGCCAAATTTTCAATTTCGCCAATTCGATCCTAAATCTACCACGGACCTCCAAAATATATTTCGGACGCCTCCCAAGTCCAAAATCATCTAACGGAGCTAACCAAATCATAGAAATCCAAATCCAAGATCGAATATTAAAAAGTCAAAACTTGGTCAAACCTTTCAAATTTAAAGCTTCAAACTGAGTTGCTCTTCCAAATCTATTCTGATTATCCTGAAAACCAAAATCGACGATTTACATAGGTTATAATACATCATACGGGGCTAGTTATGCCCGAGAACTAGCGAGCGAAGTGCAAATGATCAAAACCGATCGGGTCGTTACATCCTCCCCCACTTAAACATACGTTCGTCCTCGAACGTGCCCAGAGTTGTTTTGAAAACTATCAAATCGCTGGTAACCTTACCATGCACATACCAGGGGGTGATCTCACGTCACCCTATCCCATATAGGTCTGGTAACACAACATAACTGAAATTTCACAATTCATCATAGCCCATAACCTTAGAATCAATTTTCCACTTCCGAAATTGTCTATAAGATCAGAATCTCACATCTACAAACTGAATAAGTCTGAACACGCTGTATCAAGCTATAACCGCAATCCAAGATGAAAATCACATGATATATCGCACAACTCAAACACTCATAGCGATAACTTCTAATAACATCAGCTGCTCAAACAACCCAATTTCGGTAATAAACCTCTTATCAAACCAAAGCCTCATTCCAACATTTTTGTATACTGCCAATGATGAATGAAACATGTAGAACGTCATAACCATTCTTCAGATCAACCATTCATGAAGCCACTTCTCCCTTGGCAAGGACCATAGCAGATTTCTGAACCGAACATCGATATTATCTTTCCAACACGCTGAAACCAAATCTATTTGTATTCATTCTAGATCCCAACGATATCATCCAATCCAACACAACTACTCGGGTGACATGACACATCAATACAATCTAAAGCCACAACTCGTGCAATCCGCACGTCGATAAGCAACAATCCGAACGTACTCAAATCATGAAAAATGACTTAAATGAAAGAGTTGTACCGCAAGCTCACCAGTACCACCACAACAAAATGCTGAGAACCCATCACACGACGTAGAACTAGAACACACGAATCTATCCAGTAGGATCATACCACCACCTAGCTTCGCTCCAATGCGCGACCCCATCCAAACACTAGTCCACATAAAACACCTCAAGTCATTATGCTCCAATCGACAACCACGTGCAATTTGATGTCTATAACTAAAGCAAATCATCATAATCACGGCAAAGTAATTGACATAACATTACACAAACCCGAAAGGACACAACCGATACGTCATCCGCCGAGCAATACCCAACATTCTTCCTGCTCGAATTCCACTGAGAGACTCCAATAAAACCGTACCACATGTGCCTATAACCAACAAATCTCAACGCCTCACAACACGTAAAGGTAACTCATAGATCTCCCCAAGTCACTAATAAGCTCAACAACAATCGAATCAACACATCCCTCAACAATACAACTCGGAGTCAACCAAGCCGACTCAAGTTAGAACACACATGCACATTGGCCTACCAATGAACCCCTTATCAAGGAGTCCCTGAAGCTACTCCTTCAACTCCTTTAACTCTGTCGGTGCCATACAATACGGTGTCCGGCACCCAATCAATACCGAAATCAACAACCCTGTCCGACATGTCTGGCAGCAAGAAACACATCTGGAAAATCCCTCACCACCAGAACTAAATCAATGGTAGGAGTCTCTGCACTGACATCCATCACGAAGGCCCAAATAAGAAAGGCAACTCTTTCCAACCATCCGCTGGGTCTTCAAAAATGAAATCACCTTACTGGAAACATAATCCGTCGAACTTCGTCATTCAATCCGTGGCATCCGTGGCATCCGCGGCATTGCCAACGTCGTTGTCATAGCGCAACAGTCCAGAATAACACGACACTAAGACAACCGGTCCATACCCAATATCACATCCAACATCTAACATACCCAGCTGTCACACCTCCTTTTTACACCCGAGAGTATACAAGGTAGTTTTTCCAATTAAAGTGACATAAATCGAAATGGAATTATTGTATTTATTTTTCAGAGTCGCCACTTGGGATAATTTATGGTTTCCCAAGTCACCGGTTTATTTTAAATCTCAAATCAAGGAAATTCGACTTTATTTAAAAGTCTGCGACGTCAGAAATTCTAGATAAGGAATTCTGTTAACCCGGGAGAAGGTGTTAGGCATTCCCGGATTTCGTGGTTCTAGCACAGTCGCTTAAACTATTAATAATTGGCCTATTATCTGATTTACTATACATTTTAAACCTATTGTGCATTTTTAGCTTTATAACCGCTTTTATTTAATTTAACCGCTTTTAGGATTTATGGACTTATTTCTTGAACAAGTTACTATTATCGTACACTTGTTTGTTTTGGAACACACCGCAAACCACGCTACATGAAATGCACATGTGATTCGCGACATGTTTACTTTTATTAATATTCAAAGTTGTTATGATCGGGTCACATGAAATGCACACCCGAATTGAGATTAGGTATCACGAGCATGCCACGGAAACCGTACCCATAGCCGTGATGATTTATTTAATTAACGCAGTTAAAGCAAGCTACGATGTTCATGATTTATTCTTTCTAAGTTTGAGATTATTGCGAGGCCAAGAGTTTATACACATAGGTTTATTGAAATAAAAGAGCTTATTGCTTTCAAAGGATTGCTTGCGTCTTTACCAATTCATTTGCTGCAAAATTTAATGTTTCTTTATTCAACTTCAACGTGGTCTAGGTCATACACCCTACTGTCCATATATACGTATGCATATACAATATATTCATGTCCCATTATTAACAAGGTGCAATTTTAAAGGAAACTTCTCTATTACAAAATAATTTTCAAACATGTATCCTTTCATGTCACCACTATTATCTTTACATTACAAGTCATAAATATTTAAAGTATTCCAAAAACAAAACTAAGCACGGTAACCTTCAAAATCCAAACACCCAAAATTTCAAATCAAAGGAAATGTACCAGCGCATGTAAGATAACTAATATGGCCACAATTTATTTAAGCATAATCTCCAAAGCTAGTACAAAATAAAGTGCAAAATGAGAATCTGACTTTAGGAGTTTAAGAAATGGACCGAGTAAATCATGACAGGAAACTAACTGAGTAAGATATTGGACCCTTTTGTTTAAGTGTCTTTACACTTAAATGTTTGTTAGAGATGTGAGTTGTAGAATTCATCTGATATATTCAATATGTGATCCATACATAATAACTACAAAGCGAAGGTTATTGATGTGGCAATTCCACTCTTTCGCTCATGCTCAACGATTACTAGTGGTTTAATCCTTTTAGGAACAAAAGTTATTAATGATGTGTGAGAAAGCAGACTATCCACAAGGTAATTACATGTTGCGTCTGGAGTCTATAACCAAAAAGAAAGTATTTCAGTACAAGTTCAAGGTCAAATAAAGGAATTATAAAGAGTCGAGACCATGCACCCAACAAGCAGACAACAATAGTTTTTAATGTTTTAGTAAAAAAATGGAAAGAGTAAGAATCACATTATTTTATAACAAAACAATGGCAAGAAACTGACCGAGTAAAGGTCCAATAACAGAGGATTTGAATCTCAAGCCCAGCAGAGAAGAACATCAGCAAAATAACTCAACCAAACCCAGAAAATCAACGCCAAGCCAAGAGAAATCGATGCCAGTCCCTCTAATTCCAGCTTTCTTCTTCTTTTTGTTTTTGATTTTTGTTTGGAACTCTTTTTATCGGATTTAGATCTGTTTGATTTTCTTTGAGATTTTGAAAAATTTGTTTTTCAAATCTTTGGTGTTTCTCTGTGTGTATCTTCCGTTTGAGAGTGAGAGTGAGACTCAATGGAGGAAGAAGAGGGAATGAAAGCTTGATTTTTTGGAGAAGATTTTCGCTCCTCTCTTTGCACCGCTTCTCTGTATTTTTGTAAGGGTGTGGTCCGATTCTTCTTAGGTCCAAGATGTGTCTTTAGGTGTTTAGGGTAGGGTTTTAAGTAGAGGGGGTTTGGGCCGGTTCGGGTCGGGTCAGGTAAGGGTTGATTTGGGCTTGAAAGGATTTGAGTCTTAAAAATTAATTAGGTCATTTTAGGAATTGATCCAATTTTAAAAAAAATAAAATCAAATATATTTTTCCTATTTTCTTTTTCTTTATTTTTTTTTCTTTTTCTTTTATTTAATTAATTAAAATCCTAAATTAATCTATTTTATAGATATTAAAATTATTTATCTATTTTAACATTAAAACAACTAATTAACTTATAACTAAAAAATGTTAATTTTAAAGGCTAAAATCTAAATATGTAAAAATGACTATTTTTTGTGATTTTTCTTAATAAAATTAATTCCTACATGCGAATTGAACCTAAGATGTCATGAAATTAAAACGTGGCAATTATTTATAATTTTTCTATGATTTTAAAAATATTAAAAATGCAACTAAATAAAGAAAAACTCTTAAAAATTAATTAAAATTATTTTTGGCCTATTTTAGGAGTTATTTTCATGTAGGGCAAAAATTAGGTGCTCACACCAGCAACAAAGGATCCCCTCAGTTCTCCAAACCCTCGATAGCCACCACACAAGGCCTATACACGTGATCCACAACCATGACCTAACCTGTTTATGAGAACTCCCAGTCTCCAAATCCATACAACACGTGAATCACTATATCCGATGTTAACTTCACCGTCCGAATATACAACACACCTCTAATACCCAATCATCCCATGATAGGTACTCCTATAATTCTTTTGTGCCACCAAGCAAACTCGAATATAAGCAGTCGATCCAACAAGAGAGTGCCGCAATACTAATGAAGTATCCTCAACTCAAACACGTTGCCCTTTCTAAAATGTATACCATCATCAAGCCACACCAATCAGTGATCTCATTTATCTAGTCGTCTGAAACTGTCCATGTTACCTAAGAATTTATGACCTTCCTTCCAGAACTGAACTGTGACCTCACACATGCAAATCTCAACCCTACACAATATACCGCATATACCATGCCATCCTATGATAAATATGAGAACTTCATAATCATGTTGTGCTTTACTTTTTCTTATAACTCAGTCGTATTTACTCCGTTTTGATATTTTAAATGATATTTTGGGCTGATCATCATGTTTTACTGTTGTCCGAGTGGCTTGAGAGGTTTCTGACTGAGTGAGGACGAAGGCCTGTGTTGTGAGGATATTATGGGATCGAGCTGCACGCCGCAACAGGTTGTTATCGATTCATGATATTGTGAGGCCGAGGGCATGATTGATTTATGCCACGAGGTGGCTTGTTGTTATGAGGCCAAGTGCCTGTTTGATTAAGCCACGAGATGGCTTGTTATTGCGCTTGGGCTGTAAGGAGCCCCTTCCAAAGTCTGTACACCCCCAGTAAGCGCGGGTACCCAGTGTGAGTGATATGGTGTAGCCCTAGGGGTTGTTGTTGTTTCATATTGATGCCCGAGGGACTGTTCTTGATTCATGTTATGCCCGAGGGGCTGATTACGAGTGATTGTGAGGTAGACAGAGGAGCTGGTTCTGTTGTTATTTTTCCCGAGAGGCAGTTTATGGTACATGTTTTGCCCGAGGGGTTGTTTACGTTTCTAACATTTTTTTACTCACTGTTTTTATCACTCGTTTGAAAGTATTGAAAGTTGTTTTAAAAGGGTTTTACTGAAACTAGCTTGATTTATGAAGAAAATAATTTCTGTACTGTTTTGGAAATGTACTGCATTTGCTATAGCGTTATGCTGTGTCTTACGTGTTTTCTTACAACTCAACTTTCATTTACTTTTATTATTTATTGATTATCATACTCACATTACTCCCTGCACCTTGTGTGCAGATTCAAGAAATTCTGAACCCGGTAGCGGATGTTTATTGCTTAGTGGTAGAGTCATCGGAGTTAGCAAAATAGCTGCCCAACATTTGCAGCACTGCTTTTCTCCCTCTTATCTTCCTTATATTGTATTTAGGATATTTATAGACTCTTTGTTGTATTCAGACCTTAGTAGATGCTCGTGACTTGTGACACCCCGATGTCGAGTGTATTTATTCCGCACTGTCCATTTAGACTTACATTATGAGATATTTGATTAATTAAAGGCTTAAAAATGACTTTTATTGAATAATGGTTAAATTCAGGATTTGTGTCGGCTGACCTAGTTTCATGATAGGCGCTATCACGACCGGGTTAGTTTTAGGGCCGTGATAAGTTGGTATCAGAGCCTAGGTTACATAGGTCTCACGAGTCATGAGTAGGTTTAGTAGAGTCTCGCGAATCGGTATAGAGACGTCTGTACTTATCCTCGGGAGGCTGTAGAACCTTTAGGAAAAACTTCACATTCTTGAATTCTTATCGTGCGTCCTTGATTCGGCTTGAAATATAACTCTTTGAATTCCTTCCACGCGTTCGTATGCGCGCATGAGCATTGGTTATCAGCTATGCATTGACAGCTTGTGATTCCCTGATCGAGAGGCGAGACGTGATTTCTGTGTGTTGATGTTGGCCAGTCTGGAGGACTTGAGGCCGGGTTTTGCCTATAGCTTGAGCACTGAGGTGCTGATTGTGTGAGCAATGGATGGATGACTATGTGATGAGTATGATGTGACTATGAGATGTATTCATATGATTTGGAAGCAACGAGAAGGGTCTGCTTGATGATAGAAGAACTATTTGGTGCTTGATTTCCGTCTTGACTTGATGTATAGCACCAAGTTATGGGTGTGTGATGAATCTTTTCATGTTGTTTACTTGGGGAGTGGAGTAGATTTCATGTTACGATATGAGTTCAAACTCAAGAAGATTAAGTGATTGTGTAATGTTTATGGCGGTGGAAAGGTATGAAGAGCTATTAGTTTGAGGCGAAGCAGGTGGGTTACCTCCTTCGGAGTGTTCTGAAGTTTGTGTGAGCCTTACGTTATTCGTTGGAAGATCTCTTTTACCAGTGAAATATATGTATGCAATTTGAATTTGGGGTCGCTTAAGAGAGTGGGCTTGACTATTGCGAGGGTGAATGCGAGATTTGCAGAAGATTTGAAGTACGAGATGGTCTGTGTTGCACGAGCTTATGAAGGATTGAGAATAATCTCACTGTGGTATTATGGAAGTAATAGGGTATATGCATTATGAGTTATTGTGTGTTTTGATCTATGGCTTTGAGCCAAGTGGGGGAGTCTGTTATTGATTAGTTGATTGCACGGTTATGTGCTATGTTGGTTCCAGCTTGAGGCGTACTGGTGAATCAGTTATGGCTTACGGAGGTTGAGACCAAGGAGAGCTCGAGTAAAGGAAATTTCAATACAGGTTATGTTATGCTTTATGGGTGTATGTGAATCACGGAATGACTTGAGTTGTTATTGGTAAAGGATGTATGGTTCATAGAACAGGAAGTTGCTTGGTTGCATTAAGGTGAGGTTATATTCTGCGGTGTCGGAGTGCTAATGGAGCACAGGTCGTCGGTCTATTTGATCGGTCTAATTGCGGTTTGAGTAGAGTGGATGACTCTCAAGAATTATTCTAATTGGTTCAAGATTTTACATGTAATAATTGGAGATTTTCAAGTTGTATATTTGGCTAGAAACTGAGGTTTGCATTGGAGAGTGTCAAGACTCGTGGTATTTCTATATCATTATGGATTCTACACATCAGTATCAGGAAGGTGAAGGTAATGACTTTAGATTCGCAGGAAGTCTCTTCAGGAAAAGTATCTCGAATATCATGCTTCTGGGGATATTTGAGAGAGTAGTCAGCGGCTTATGAACCGTAGGACGGTGTGGCTTTTTGCTTGGGTCTCGTGTGGCAAGTATGGGTCGAGGATTGTGGTGTTATAGAGAGAAGAAGTATCAAGTTGAAGGTAAATTAGAAGGAACTTGGATAGATGGGATAGCTTGGTAGTAGGCCGGATCGACATGATAAGAATATGATTAGTCGTTTGGGTGTTTACGAGGTAATGAGTTTCTACAGGTGTTTTGCGGCAATGCTCTTAGGTTTTAGTGGCCTGCGTAGCTTGGTTGAGTTAGAAGGATTCAGTCCTGACGTTTTAGTTTTGTGCAAATGGATTTTGGAGAGTTCTTGATGATTTCTACTACGGTTGGAGGTGTACATTTCTACTGGCGTGGGGAGCATGGGATGTATAGTGATTTTATCCCAGATGGGATCAAATGGAAAGGTTCTTGGCTGGTTGAGTACGTAGTTGCTTGTAGCTCTATAGATATTAAGTCAAAACAGTGAAGAATAGTAGTAAAAATCCCCTAAAGGTCCAAAATAGTTGGAACGATGCCCAAATATGGCATTCAGCCCAAAACATGGTAATACTTTCCAAAACACAATGATATCAAACAGTTTTCAATCAAATACGAGACTTAACAGTCGCACGGGACGGACCGAGTCACAATCCCCAACAGTGCACGACTCCACGCTTGTCATCTAGCGTGCGCGTCACCTCAAAGTAGCACAATGATGTGAAATCTGGGGTTTCATACCCTAAGGACAATATTTATAATCATTACTTACCTCAAACCGGTCCAAACTCTAGCCCTCGATGCCTTTGCCTCTCGAATCGACCTCCAAATGCTCTAAATCTAACCAAAATCAGTATATTATCATCAACGTACGCTAAAGGAACAAAGCCCAAGCGAAAATTATCAAATTACATCAAAAATTCCAAAATTGGCCAAACCCGACCCCCGGGACCACATCTCGGAATCCGATAAAAATCACAAAATCCGACACCCCATTTAACCACGAGTCCAACCATACCAAAATTACTAAATTCCGATAACAATTTTGCCTCCAAATCTTCAAATCTTATTTTCAAATCCCTAGGTCCAAATCCCCAATTTACACCTCAAAAACATGTAATCTAGTTGGATGATTCGATGATAATTCAATATTATGGAGTAGAAATGATCACAAGTAATTTACCTCAAGATTTCCCATGACTTCTCGCTC